GCTAACCCTTAACCTAACCCTAACGCTTAACCTAAACCTAACCCTTAACCTAACCCTAACCCTAACCCTTACCTTAACGTGAATCGGCTTGCTGTAAAAGCGCTTTTTAAAGAGCCCTTTTTTCTCCGCGGTCGTATTTGTCGCGCTGCTGATGACGTCAGGTACGCGCTTTAATCGGGCGCGCTTTAGTGGACCGCGGTTTTGTCGTGCCACGGGGCTGCACTGCCAGTTTGGGCAAAGCGGTCTGAACCGGCTGAATGTGATGTGATGTTTATGTTTACGTTACGTTACATTATTGGTGGACAAGGGCCCTGTGTTAATTCAGGGATCCTCCCATTCAACCTTTCTCCACAGAGCTAGATGTGTATTACTCAGAAAGGTTCTCTTCACGTGCTCAGAGGCTAGTGGGTTCGGGAGCAGGCTGAGACAGGCAGCTTCCAGGGATGCGGCTGCTGCTCCAGATTCAAAGGAAGCCCCGGAGTGGGGATTCACACCCCCAGATTTACGAGTCTAGATTATTTCAGGTTTGCAAAGGCAGGATGCTGAAAGGCTAGGAGAAAGCACTCTGCCCATGCCCCGTTTCCCTTTCCATTAGCTTTCCCGGGGAGGCTTTGCTTTTATTATGCCATCTTTCAACCCTGGTTAAAGGAGGCCCTGTCTGCAGCTTGGCACCACGGGGGCGAGGGAAAGAAAGGCTTCTGTAATCCGAGGCGAGATCGCATAGCGGCCTGATACCGGAGTAAAGCAGGCCGGAGGATGGAGCTGGCGGCCTGCTGCGTTGCCATGGCAACCCGCAGACCACGGGAAGCGCCTGAAAAGGGAGAACTGGGAAAGCGAGACCAATTAGCAACGGTGGTCGGGTTGCAGCAGGAGGAGGAAGAAGCGGAGAGGTTTTTCGGAGGTGGCCCCAAAGGAGAGCGGCATTACGGGGGGAAAGTTGGTACTTTTCCCATAACGCCCCTCTCGTATCGGCACAGCGAGTGAGGCCTAGTGACTTGTGGCGTCTCCTGATAAGGTTCCCAGGTCCCGCTTCCTGCGC